AATACGGCGATCTTCGTGTTCTTGGTTCCCCTCAGCAGCATGCGCGTGTGGCCTGGAGTCGCGATGGCAGCCAGGCCCTGGCTCCATCTTTCAGATCAATTACACTTATCAATAAGAAAGAACCATCATCATTGCCATGCTTGACTACTGTGTGATGAATGAGTGCTCACTTTTTCTGAAAATAACCTCCCATAAAAGCCATTTTTCTGAAGCGGTCAAGATAGGAGCTTTGGATTCAGATAGGCCCAGGGTGGAATCCGAGTCCAGTGTTTACTGACTGTGTGGCCTTAGGTAGGTCATTTAACTGCTCAATAGCTCAGTCTCCTTGTCTTTGAAATGGGTTTACTCATACCCACCCTGTTGGGCTGAGTGGGCACAAGACAGCTCGATAAACTGTCACAATCGTGTAAGGGATGCCTAACTCCCCCTGCCCCACTTTCTCCTTCCTGGAAAGTAGCGGGGCTTTAACAGTGGGGGAGAGCCTTTAGCACCTTAAGCATCATCGGTGGTGGCAAGGTCAGGTTTTGACTGGATTCAGGGGAGGTGGGAAGGCGAACAGTAGGCAACACTCAGCATTAGAAGGGCCCTTGTTCCCGAGCCGACAAGGGAACGACCTTCTGAAGGTGAGAGTGATGGAAGCCAATACAAATTCTACCTCTTCCCATGCTACCTTGTCCCCATTAAGCTTTCAGGACAGCTACTACCAGCACCCCACTGGCCTGCAGGATCCAGACCCCCCCGGGGGGGGCAAATTTGTCCATACTCCCTGGAAAGATAAGCCTTCAGAGATAACATCTCTGGCTCACCTCACCTCTGAAAGCCACTGACGATAAGGAACCTTTTCCCAAGAGCCAACTGTGGCAGGATGAGGGGGACCGGGGAAATAGGGAAAGGGGAAGAGCTGTTGGCACCAGATCCATGCCCAGAATTCTCCACAAAATGATTTCAGCCTCACAAGGCAGGACGGGCACAAGCCGGAGTGAGAAAACCCAGGTTTGTGTTTGCACCGGACTGCATTTTGAGTATTTGCAAACTCAGGCCCAGTAAAACGTCAGGGGTGCCTCCCGCATGGCTCGTGGTAAGGAGCACGGGAGAGAATGGGAGAGAAAGTGCTGGGAACATTCCATGTAAGCAGTATCACTATTAATCGGGTGCAATCTACCCCTCTTTGGTGAATAGAGGAGTTCTTTAATTCTGCGCCGCCCGCCCCTCCCCGGCCCATGCATCAGCCGTGGCCTCCCCCACCATATTCCTGATATCGCTGGGCTACCTGGGGAGTAGATAATCCCAGAACACGGCTGAGGGTCAATCTTTATGCATTTAAATGTCAGAAGAATATCACCAACTTCACTGCAGCGAACAAACAGCAGGGAAGATACATTTGCTTTGTCTACATCGGGGTTTCTCAAACCTTGGGCAGCATAATTCCTTGCTGTGCCTTGTAGGATGTTTAAGAGCATCCCTGGCCACTACCCCCTAGACACCAGGAGCACCAACCCCAGTTGTCATACCCAAAAAATGTCCCCAGAGACTGCCTAAACTGGGGGGTGCAAAGTCACCCCCAGTTGAATACTACTAGTGTACATAAAGAAATGAGTGCGGGGGTGGGGGAGATGTCAGTTCCCCGGCATTTTGTTGCTGCAGAAAGATTTCGGAGGGGTATAAAAGCAGAAAGGGACGGTGGTGACAGTCTCAGGGCGTGAATGCGGCATCTCTCACCTCTCCAGCAGGAGGGCTGTCACCTCCACAGCCCGTGGCCACCTCCACGCTGGTCATTTGGGGGATCTGGGGAATGGTACAGAAGGCGTGCCTTGGATCAAAAGCTAATGCCATCCAATACCACTAGCATTTTCTACGTCCTGTGCTGGTGACAAGGGTCTGCCCTGCAGGGAAAACCAGTGGTTTAAAAGAAAGAAGGCTCTTTCTCCTAAGAAACCGACGTTTATTAATAATACATCCCCAAACTTCACGTCAACAAAGGGAACCTCTCACTGCAAAGACATACAGGCCATCCAAGGGGATGTCAGCAGCCTCAAGATCTGATCATTTTTTTTTCCCCCAGAGTAGCATATGGACCACAAGATCTCTCTCCGTGTAGGAGCCCATGAGAAACGCAAGTCAAGGCTTTTGTTTTTTGCTTGCCTTCTCTGTAATCATTCTGCTAAAGCAGAAAAGCAAAGTTACATTGCTAAAGAAGTTAAGTGTAAAAAGGATCTTGGTTCTGTTCTAAGCATTTCCGAATGGCTAACAGGAAAGGTGAAATTGGACTACAATATCGCGGCTCGCCAGGCCTCGGCCAACCTCCAGTCCTTGAGGGAGAAGAAAGGGGGTAAACACCGTCTGGGAACGTTCCAGAGTTGGAGATGATGCCAGAAATTTCCCAAGTTGGGCCACTCCTTTTTCCCTTCCCACCCCAAATTCCAGCCTCCTGCCTTTGCACGGCAGCATTTAAACCAAACAAATCAGGAGCTACGGTGTGACTAAATTCATGGACAAACAAAAATTAATACAAAAGGAGAAGAGGAACCACCACCAATATAGGTTGTAAGCCCACTGTTTGGACTCACCTGCTAAATGCTACCCATCAGCACAGATTAAAACAAAAGCCTGCCACATTCTGGGCAGACACTGCTCTCCAGGGGCAGCTCAGCTGGAAAGTTTGCTGGAAATTCAGTGGCATGCTCTGGTCATTTCTAAATACTCTCTAGAAGACAAGAGTTCAGGTCAAGTGAAAGCACGTGGCTCCATCACTTGACAAAACCCCACAGCCAGGGAACAGGTGTGGCCTGCCAAAAGCAAACAAAAACTTCCCTCAAACAACAACAAACAGTTAACACCCTCAGCCTGTCAACACCAATTAGCCAGCCCTCCCAGCAGAAGCCTCTTAAGACCCGATTCTGAAATCCAGCTAGGTCCTCTGCAAGCAGAAATGGTCATCGCGTGGCTTCCCCCAAGGAAGTGACCCTCAGTGGAAACTTAAACCAGCAGGCACAGCCCTTAGGCCCCCTCTACTCCTAAGGGGCCCCGCTGGGTGGGATCCTAACTTTGCTGGACCCCAGGCACTTTTCCTTTTCCTGGGTTTCTTCCTGCATAATAATGTTGATATTAGAATTGATTTTTGATATAATTTTAAATACTTTAATATTTTATTCTCTTAGTGTTTCAGGCGGACTTTAATTAATAGGTTCTTGTGGACCTGAAAAATTAAAACATTTCCTTTGAATAATTTCATTTCCTTTGGGTTTTCTTTCTTCTAATTTTAAAAGAAATTAAACATTTTCCAGCCCCCCTCCTGCCCCCCACCGGGAGGTATCATGGGTCCTAGGCACTGGGCCCACTGTGTCTCAGGGAGAAGCCAGCCCTGATTCAGTAGGAATGTGCAATTTTTAAAAAAATACTGTTACCCATGGTCTATACAACCACCTCAACACAACCCTGGCCTATCCTTGAAAGCCCATTCTATCGATAAAATACTGACGTAAAATGCCTGGGACGTATATACATTTTCACTCGTCTCTTAAGAGTGACTTACACAGGTGGACTCCAAGGGGCTTAAAACAAAAAAACAAAACCAACTCAGCACACAAGATAGATTTTCTTCAATATTTTATTTATATAGAAATACTTAAAAAATGAAGTAGCACCATTACTTAAGTTTTACCTTTATTATGTAGAACTTTAAATGTCAGAAAAATAAAACTCTTGATACAATTTCAAATCTTGTCTCAGCAAATATAATATTAGTATTTGACCATGAGGTTAAAGGCCCTTTATCATAAAATAAAATATACTTTGTTTTTTAAACTTTGCTCAGTAAAGTACATTTAAGCTCAAGTAACATCACCTACATATACATAAACAAGTGGTAAACAAATGTATTAAAATAGAAATACTAAAACTATAGTGGCCCAACAGAATTTTTGTAGCTTGCACTGAATTCTATTTATACAAATGTTAGAAAGCATCAACAGTTCCTTTTGACATGTTTATACATTTCCGTGGTTTTTTTTGTAATAATATAGAATAAAATATGCTTTATATCACTGAATAGAAAATATGCTGGGTGAAGCATTTCTAGAAGATTTGTCTGAACCTATAAAATCTCCATCCCAACAGAATACTGTTCAAAACATTACACATTTTATGGTTTTGTAATTCCGTCACAATTGTGTGGTTATTAAAATAATACAGTGTTCTTTGCCATAAGGCCATACTAAAATAAAAAGATTTAACCCAGCTACAAAAAAGTTCACTGAACTTAAATTAAAATACTTGTAAACATCTTTGCAATATGAAATATAATTTTTCAAGTCAAAAAAGAATAAAATACTTCAATCTGTATTAATGCAATTTCTCTTTAAAACTTTTAAACGTTTTTAATATATAAGAGATATGTTACAGTTTGTTTAACTTTTTATAAAGCTGCAGTATCCTGGCCCTTCCACAACATTCAAAAAGGATCCACTGTGTTCTATAATAAGCATCGTAGGAACCCAGCCACAAAGAGGAACACACTAAAACAGTCCACACATCCCATAAGCACTATTATTATCATCTTCATCATAATAATTATTGTTCATTTTTTTTCCTACTTTAAGAAAATGGAAAACTTGTGGGGTTTTCTTCTTTTGGAAGCTTCCTATGAAGTACAGTGTAAAAACTATCATTACTAGAATGTCGCCGTTCCTATTATTTATAGAGCATGCATTTCAGGTGGTTTCGGGGGTTTCCCAGGCTATAGTACTCTTGATGCAGGTATCCTGGCAAGTTCCTTTGTTTAAAAATTAAAATAAAAAAAAAAAACGAGCGGATACTACAGCTTTCCAAGCTCCTCTGGGATCTCAGAGTGTGAGCAGGGGTGGGGGAGGAGAAGGTGGAGCACCACGGCGTCCGGCGGGCGGGAGCGGGACTGGCGGGGGGGGGGGGGGGGGGGAGGGGGCTGGGGGGAAGGGGAGGGGGCCTCCCTGCCCCCGCGGGGTGCGCGCAGGCGCGCGCTGGCTTCAGGAAAAGATGCGGATGGCCTGAGTGACCGCGGTGTGGCAGACCGGGCACTCGGGCTCGCTCTTCTCGCAGATGCGGTTGGCGCACTCCATGCAGAAGAGGTTGTGGCCGCAGGGCACCAGCGCGGCGATCACTTCGCTCTCGAAGCACACGGAGCAGTCGCGGCTGCCCTTCCGCCGCAACCCCGACGACGACGACGACGAGCTGGAGGAGGAGCTGGACGACGACGAGGAGCCGGAGGTGTCCGACGGCTGCAGGCCGGGCAGCTGCGCCCCCAGCCCGTTGGCATAGGCGGCGTAGGTCAGGCCACCTCCGCCCGGGTCGCTGCGCACCCGGCGAGCCAGGTGGTGCTCGCCCGCCCCCGGCGCCATGTGCAAGGGCGGGGACAGGCGCGGGCAGCTCGCGCCCGGGTGCAGCCGGCGGTGCACCAGCAGCCCCAGGTTGGCATTGGAGGGCGCGCCGGCGCCGGGGAACACCACCGAGGACGACGAGGCGGACGAAGACGCGGAGGACGAGCAGGAAGAGGACACGGGCGCTGCAGGTCCGCCTCCGGGGGAGCGCTCGAACTGAGCCCAGAGCAGCGGCGCCCCCGGCGGGGGAGCGGGAGCCGGGTCGAAGGTGGGCTGCAGCTCGGGACAGCCGTCGGGGGAAGGCACGGAAGCTTCCCCCGCCGCGTAGGTGTATCCGTTGCCGTTGTTGTTGTTGTTTCCGTTGTGGGCAAAGCTGAGCGCGGGGCTGGGGGGGCTGTAGTCCGCCAGGCGCGGGGTGGCGGCTGTGCTGCCGCTGGTCCCCCCGCCGAAGTAAGAGTCCGTGGAGGCGCTGCCAAGGGAGCTGGAGCTGTCGTTGCGGTAGCTAGAGAAGGGCTTGCGGCCGGGGGTGGGCGTGATGCTGGGGGTGGGCTTGCTCCAGAGGCTGCCTGGGCCGGACCCGCCGGACCCGTGATGCAGCTCAAAGCCCACATCCGTGCCGTTAGCGTGGAAGTCGTTCTCATCTGTGAGCTCGATGATACCGCCGGTGCGCAGGGCGATGTGCGCCTCGATCTCTTCGCGAGCTCGGTCTACGTTCTCAGGCATGCCGGTCACCTCGAACACCGGCTCCTTGTCGCGGCTGGGCGTCACGATGTACGTGTGCGTCTGTTGTTGGATGCGCTTGATCGTGGCGCCCTTGGGCCCCACCACGAGCCCCACCACGCGATAGGGCACCCGCACCTGGATAGTGGTCTGTCCGGGCAGGTTGGGCGGCCCGGGCACTGCGCCGTTGAGCGCCGTGTTCTTATTCCGCGAGGCGCGGATCATGGAGAAGTGCTCCGCGGCAGAGATGATCTCCCTCCGAGCCATGGCCACATCCTCCTTCCTGCCCGTCACAACAAAGACAGGCTCCTCCCCGCGAACCGGGGTCTTGATGTAAGTATTGGTCTTCGCCCGCAGCGCTTTGATTTTACAACCTGGGAGCCAGGGTGCAGGGGAGGGAGTGGGAGAGAGAGACAGACACGCCCATTATCCCGGGGTAACCGCGGAGACCTGGGACCTCCCGCGTCCAGGGCTGCGGGACGGCAGGACACGCTTTGGGCGGAAAGGGGGCGGCTCCCTCACTGACCCTGGGCCACGCCACGGGCTGGGAAGCGGGTTCCACCCGCGAGGCGCTCGAGGAACAGCCCATTGGCTGCCCAGCCCTCCCCCAGTGACTGCAGTCGTCCCGAGCAAACCCGAGAATCCCAGAAAAAGTCAGCCGGGGAGATGCCGCTAGGATCCAGCGGGGCGCGCCGTCCGCCCTGAAGACGCGGCGAAGGGGTTCGGGGAAGAGGGACGGAGCCGCGATCCCCCCAGAACGGGGGGACTGAGGGGAAGGGGGGGCAGTCCCGGGACCCATTGTTCCTCCTCTGGGCTCCATTCCGCTTTGCAGAAATCCAGAATCCTCCTCCCATCCGATGCTCACTCCTCCTCCTCCTCCCCCTCCCAAAGGACCGATCAAAGGCCCCCTCCCCCAAGCATCTTATATTTAAATTCTATTTCCCGGGGTGGGCTGGGTGGGGGGCGCTAGGGGAGAAGGCAGTGATTTTAGCAGGATAAAGTGCATCCCGCCGTGGCAGCGGCGCGGCTCCGGGAGACAGCCTGCCTGCACTTTCTTTGTCTGGGGCGCCGGCCCCTCGCGCGGCTCTTCCTCTCTCCTTAAGGCTCGCGGGCGCCGCGGATCCCGAACCCTCTCGCGCCCTCCCCGCGGGGCGGTGGTCCGAGACCCTCTCCCCTCCAGCTCCCCATCTCCGCCGGACCCACCTTGCCGCCCCACGATCTCGGCGACGTGTTCGGAACTGGGCACCGGCACGCACTCGGTCATGTTCACGCTCTTCTTGCGCGGCTCACTGTCGTACAGAGAGGCGCCCTCGTCACTGTCCAGCCCCAGCAGGGAGAGCTGATCGAGCGCGAGCTGCAGGGCTCTTTGGTCATCCAGGGTCTCTCCCCCGCCGCCGCCGCCGCCGCCGCCGCCGCCGCTGCCGCCGCCACCGCCGCCGCCTCCCCCTCCGCCGCCGCTGCCGTTGCGCTCCAGGTCTGCAAACAGGGAGCTGGGCATCGCTCGGCCGTGCGCGCCGCGCCCCCGCCGGCCCTCGGCTCGGCGGCGAGAAGCTGCGGCCACAAAGGCAGCCGGGAAGCTAGTGGTCAGGGGCGGGGAGGCCGGCAGGCTGCAGAGGGCTCCGTTGCTTCTTTCTCGGCGCCGGGAGGAGTGGGTCGCTCGGTGCGGTCCGCGCCGGGCAGTGGCTGCAGGAGCCCCCGCCTGGGTCCCCACCCCAGATCTGCCGCCGGGTGGGGTGGGGGCAGAGCTCGAGCGGCAGCCGCGCGTGCCCCCCGAGTGCCCGGCTGGCTGGCCACAATGCCGAGCGAGAAGCGAGCAGGCGAGCGACAGCAGCGTTTCTTTAAGGAGCCCCTCCCCGGCTCCTCCACTCCCTCCCTCCCGCCCGCCCGCCCTCACTCAGCGCTTTTTCCTCCTCTCCTCCCCGCCTCTTGACTGAGCCTCTGCAGCCAGACGGCTCCGGAGGGGGACGAGGGAGGCGCAACGTCACCGGCGGGAGCTGACACTACAATGCTACTGACACTATCGCTGGGGGAGGCGATTGGCGCGCGCCGGGCCGGGGGCGGGCGGAGGCCGCGGTCAGGGCGAGCCGAGAGCGAGCGCCCCCCACCCCCGCGCCCGCCGCAGCCCGCCCCGTCCTCCTCGCGGCCGCGCCCCTCCCCCGCCGCCGCTAACGCCTCTCTTTGTTGTCTAATGCGGGACCGGCAGGCTCGGGACACTCGCGCGTTACCTATCGGCCGAGGACAGTCTGTCCCCAGTTCTCCTCCCTCGCCTGATGGAGAAGAGAAAACGCGCCCAACTCTGAGGCCAGCGGCCCGGCTCTAAGAGAGCGGTCCTGAGAAAGTCCCGTTAGCGTCCCCAAATAAACCACTCCTAGAGCCCACGGGGCCACTGGGAGAAGGGTCTATTGTCTGCCCAACAGGGCGGTCCGAACCCTCGGACTGGGAAAAGCGGAACTCGAGGTCCCGGTGCGCACGGGCAAAGTGGCTCCTGGCGCGGACTGCCCACCTGCGCGGGAGCGCAGGAGACACAAAGGCATAGGCCCGCCCGCATCGCTCCTCGCGCGCGCGCGCGCGCCCACAGCTCTGCCCCTCTCGGGCAGCACTTTGTCCAACTGGCCCTGAAACTGCAGCGGGGCCAGCCAGAACCCCGCCGCAGCGCGGGCCTGGCCCACCCTGCGGCCAGCGACCTCCGCAATGTGCGGCGCGGGGGGTCCTGCACAGGCCCCCGCGCGCCTGCCGAAACCCCGCGGGCGCTGACTCGTGCACGAGCGCCGCGCCGCGCCGCGCCGCCACCGCGGGGACGCCAGCCATGGCTCCGGCGGGCGGTGCGGGCGTGCGCGCGCCGCCGTCCCGTCCCTCCCCGCCCCGCGGTCGGGCATGCGCGGTGCGCGCGGGGAGCGGGCGGGCCCTTTAAGGCGGGCACGGCGCAGCGCGCGCCGGCCCCTCCCGCGGCCCCGCCCCGACGGGAGGTGTGCGCCCGCCGCCCCGCCGCTCTTTGTGCGCTTCTCCGGGTGGGGTTGGCGGCGGAGGGAGGGCGCGCCCGGACCGGCCGGCGGGGACGGCGAGCTGCGCCCCCTCCCGGATCTCCCGGAGCCGCCTACGAGCGCGCGAGAAGAAAGGAGGCTTTGAGGGCCGGGCCGGGGCACGCCGCCGCCCCGTCCCCCTGCGCTCGGCCCCGCGGCGCCGCCACCCGGTCCGATGCCCCCTCGGGCCCCGCGCGTGCTCCTCTCCTTTGTTCCCGGCGCCCCCGGGCTCGCCGCGGCCCCGCGCCCGGCCTGCCGGGCCGCTCCGCAAGGCGGCCGTGGCTGCGGTTCGCCGAGAGCGCCGGCGTCCCGCCCGGCGGGACGCCCGCCCGGGACAATGGGGCCATGTGGCCGCCGCCGCGCGGACGGGCTCACTCGGGGGACCTGGAGGTTACGCGGGGTGAGCTCGGGGCGCGCAGGCAGAGGCTCCCTGGTGCTTGCTCCCTGCGTGACCCCGGGAAGAGAGCGAGCGCCCGGGCCTCGGTGTGCCCTGCGTAAAATGGGGGAAATCGTACCTGCCCTGGCCACCTCGTGGGTTCGGAGAATTGACTGTGACAGTAGACGCGAGCGCGCTCGGTAATCAGGCAGTTAGGCAAACGCCTTTACTTTGGAGAACAGGAAGGTGTTCCCTTCTGGCTCACCTGGAGCTGTCTTGGGGAAGAGGTGCTGATTATTTCCTTGGGGAAATGAGGCTTCGAAGCCACTTAGAGTGGTTATTTCCTCAGGATGTTTATGTCAGCTTCCCTGACTCTGGGTGTGTGTTTCTTCAAAGGGAATGATGGATGGGGTGGGGGAGGGTGCTCGGAGAGAGCCACCACCTAGAACTCCAGTGGAGAATTCTTGTGTTTTTTGACCTGGTTTATGGACTCAAGTCCCACTGATCTGTGAATGAGGAGGGAGTGCCTTGAGGTTGGAGGTTCTGGGAGGAGAGGGTCCTGGCTGGTCCAGGCGCCTCAGTCGGGGCCTGTAAATAAGGAGGGCAGGCAGGAAAAGCACTCCAAAGGCCTGGCCGTTGCATCTTGCCAACACAACAGGCTTGTTGCTGGCCTCTCCGCTCTGTTTCTAGGAATGTATTAGCCTCCCGATTGGGCCAACTGAGGTTTCTTTTTTTCACATAACAGGATGGAAGTAAAGTTGTTGCCCAGAGGTCACTGCTGGGGAGGCCTGGACACAGGTAAATGGGGGCCTTCCTCCTGGGGTTGCTTGTGCTAGGGAACAGGACTGCACACACATCCTCCCCCTGCCATCTGCAGTGCTGGGATTTCAGATGGGTTAAATCAGAAATTTGTTTAGAGGACTGCATGCTTCAGAGTCCCCGTGGTCCTCGGGTCAGTCCCAGGAAGGTGAAGGTGACACTTTGCTGAGGTGACAGGTGTCTTTCTCCCCTACCGGATCATGAAGGCAGGAACTGTCCATAATTACACATACCTGGTGAAATCACACATTGAAGCCCACATGGAGGATGAGCTAAAACTCTGGTCCTGGGACTTCTTGAAAAGCTGCTAACCCCCCAGGTGCCCATGACATTCCTTGTAGCCTGGGTCACACTCCATAGACCAGAATGCTTCGGGAAAACCGATGCAAAGATGGGATCGTTTTCTGAAGACACCCACAAGACTGAGGGCCCTCCCAAGAGTCTGGGCGGGAGGGCGGTGGTCATGGTAGCAGGTGGTCAGGTAGCACCTTTGACAGAGTGGATTCCCAGTCGAGCCCTGCTTCGGTGTTCCTGTCCTGTGTAGAGGCCAGTATCCAGCTTCCCTTCTACCTCAGGGGGTTGTTTTAGCAGAGGGATAATGATGGTGAAAGCGAACTCAGTGTAAATTACAAAGTACTATGCAAACGTGTGGGTAGATTGGTGCTTTACCTGCAGCCACTTCTTATCTTCTGGACCTGTACCCAGTGCTGACTGGTCAGGGTATTTTCTGACACTTGAATGCTATTATAAAAGTAACAATCTGGAAAAATTCTCAATGAATGGCTTTAATAAGCCTAGACGTGATAAAACTTGCAAAGTCCAGTTCTGTTTCTAAGTAGATAATACAACCCAACTCCATAGTTTTTGGCTAGACTTTCCCAGGCTCCTTTAGGACCCCAGCGCTTAACTACTTTTCCTGATATGGGACATGTTCCCTAAGGACTTACCCGATGTGGCCATATAATTATTATTATTATTGTTATTATTATTATTATTATTATTATTTTAGCACTCACAACAACCAAGATTAACAGTGAGCCTACCTCGTACTTGCTTCCAGAGGACTCGAACCGTTTTGCACACATCTTGCTTACTTCTGCAAACTGAAGAGCTGGCAAAAGCAGCTACAGTCCTCATGGGAAAACAAGCACACTTTCGGTCAACTCACTTCACATTACTGAGTATCTACGTACTTTATTATAAGCACCCGGGAAAGTGCTGATGATACAGAAATGAACACAGCGGAGGTGGGGAGGTCCTTTCCCCTGGAACCCTGTTCATGTCCAAAGCTGGTTAGGCAGCAGGGGATGACTACCCAGGCAGTAGTGAGTCTGCCTGGACTCCGGGGAAGGCTTCCCGGAGGCGGGGACGTCTGTGTTGTGCTTTCAGAAATGAGGTGGGAGAATTCATTGAGACTTGTACCTTGTGTGGCGCATGGTATCTGGTAGGAACTCGATCAGTGTTTATTAAATGAATGAGCGAGCCAGGCTGAAAAGGCTCCAGGTATAATTTTCTTAAGTATGCATGTGAACAACCGTCTCTGGGAAGCAGCTCAAATGACTCCAGCCACAACTCCCTGACTTTGAGTAATCACAGGAGGTATTTATCAAGCACCCGGTGTGCGCCAGGCAGCTTACCAAATGCTTTACAACGCGCTATCCTGTGTAAGCCTCCAAACCACTGAAGTCAGTACTTCTCTTGGCCCCATTTTGCAGATGAAGGGAAGTTAAGTCGCTTGCCCAAACAGAGGCAGATTGGCCTTGAAGCAGGTGAAGCTCAAGCTTTTGGGCCCTTCCACGCAGGATCACATGTTTTAGTAACATTTTCAAGAGTAAAGTTTTTCTTCTTTCCCTTAAGGAGGACCCCAACACTGATGTGACCTTCAGGCCTAATAAATTTTAGTCACTGTTGCGCCCAAGGTCACACAGCTGATAAACGGTACCCAAGCCTGTGATCGTAAGCACCCCAAGTTCCTTCCCACCTCTGGACTCTGGATTCCCCAGCTGGAAGCTGGAAGCTGGAAGCTGGAAGCGTTTCCGGCCCCAGGCCCACCGCAGGACTCTAATGATCACATGTGTGAGGGCCCAGCAAAGCATCTTGGTTTTTGATGTCCTGTTCAGTCTTTGTATTGTTAACGTATATGTCACATGGAACACATAAAACACACACGTTTTTAAGAATATTTTAATAATATGGGAAATGCTCTCCTTATGTTGAATGAACAAAAAAAGGAGCTAAGAGGTGTGTGTGTTACTAAACACTCAGGAAGCATCAGGAGAAGCA